AAAAAAATGTAATAAGTTGGTGAGATTTTTTAAATCCAACACATCTTCAATATATGTAAATAAAAAATTCTATTTATTTATAAAATACGGAGTATAAAGAATTCTCTTCACATACAACAACCATTTATTAATTAATTTGGCCAAAGTGTAATTTATCAGCCCACTGTTTTGGCCCAATTTTAAAATTTAATTATTAAAAAGGCCTTATCCAACATTTTTAAATAACCCACAGCCCAAAACCCGCTACTGGCCCGACTTAGGTTTATATTCGGATAAACCTATCACAACCGCACTCTTCCAGATCTACCGCTGTCTCCCATGCCGACTCTCATCTCTCTAGAAAAGTTTCAATCGCCGGCGATGGAGTTTACAGAACTCCAGTTGCCGGCGATTAATATTTCCCGTCGTATCTTACGCCTCACAACATTTATCTAGATAAGGATACTACAAATATTTATTTGGATTGAACGGCGGCGATTTGAATCTCTGATCCTTAAACGACGGCATGTTATTTCAAATATGGGGTAATCTCTGAGAAAATCATTCTTTATTTTTGCATTTGAATTTCTTCATGACCAAATACTCCCTATTTTCACAGATTATTAGGAAATTTTAGATCCGTTTATTTTCCCTTTGTCTTCCTTGTTAAATGTTTAGATCTTCACCCCACATGCATGTTCTTGGCCCACTTTTATTAGAAATTTCCATTTAAAAAGTGAAATCTGTTTTTTTAACATGATTCGAGTAACTAAACCAATTTGCATTGGATCTCTTAATTCTTTTAGAAAACTTCCTGCAAGGATTTTTGTAAATTTGTTCTTAGAAATTCAGATCTGTGATTTCATATTGACCGAAAAATATTAAATTTGATTGATTATTCTCTATCTATAAATCTGCAATTTAGATTTTTTAGTGATTAAAAAAATTCCAAATGTAGTCCTTAAAATTAAAAAAAATTTCCGATTAAAACCCTTATTTAAATAACTTATAGATTTTATAAGTTATAGATTTTCGGGAAAAACTGATATATTTTATTTTGTTACATATTGCTAGAATCAAACCTTTATAAAAATATTTCTTAAAAGGAATACTTAACTACAGAAATGAAAGCTGTGTGTATTACGAATATATTTTCTACATTTATTTATTTATAATAAAAAATGAATTACATCACAATCTGAGCTTAAATTTATGTTTCAAGAGCATTAAGGTAGTAACATGTTTTAGTAAAAAAAATAATAATCTCAAAAAAGGGAGTATGTATACATTAACCTCCATTGAATCTTATTGAACATGTTTCATTGAAGGGTTGAACATGTTAAAAGTTCAATTGCACATACACTGAATTGTTTTTGCAGGTTATTAAATTTTTACATATTTATCAAAGGTAGTGTGCAGTAGTTTTAAAACAGGTAATATAAATATAGCTATATAATTAAAAATAAATATATTAGTTTATTCACAACTTGATTACCTTTGTCTGATTCTGGTTCTGAATCATGCATTGAAAATATTCTTTCAGATTTGGTAAGCTTTCTCATTGCGTGGGAGAGAGGACTTCAGGTATCCTGTTTTGAATCCCATATTGTCATTAATTGAAGCACACCAAATTAATTTTATAAAAGCCATTATGAATTTTTTTTATTCAAAACTCGAAACTGCATATTTTCAGTGCATAACTTAACTATGTGGTTTTTTAAAAAGAAAATTTCAAATTTGGTGGCTTATTCTTCAGTCCACGGTTTTTTGTACAATTTATATAAAAAAATTTTTTGGAACATTAAGAATAATACTTCAAAAACATGCTTGTTATATTAAAAACAATTTAAATTAAGTGAATGTGATTTACTTACCTTAAAGAATAAGAATTGAATGCTAGCTTAGCTTTGAATGCTCAAAATCAACTTCAAGGAGGAGTTGGTTGGGAGATAGAGTAATAAATGTGTAAGCTAGAGGGAAAGACTAATATAGTTGGCATGCCTTATAGTGCATTATATGAATGAAACTAAACCCTATTATTAGGATAGGTGAGTGGCTCAAGGAGGAATGGGGTATTATTATTTACTGCACAGTGTACAAATCTTACTAATATAACGTGGTTAATAAATGTGTGTGTGTGTGTGTAATAAATGTCATTTAAAAGAAGGCATTTGGTTACTTATTGCATTTTTACACGGCACCCATCTCAAATGAGTCTTTATTTTATTATTTTCAATTAGGTGATAAGTAGAACATTTATTGCACCTTGGGTAGCACAATATTCTCCTTGGGCCACACACTTAGATTTTCTAGTTTATTTAAATATCTTCATCATTAATGAAGCTATAAGAAATGCTTAGTAAGAATAGATGTACCCTCACATTAAATGATAACACTCTTTACAAAGCCATCACAAATTGTAGGTGATTTTATCTGATAAGTATTACGGAGTAATTTCGAACATGCACGCAATTTGGAATGTGATGCAATTTTTTGATTAAAGTATAATTATTTTATTCATTACACGGTACATGGATGGGTCAATCATATTTTTTTAAATATTAATTATGATTTCTTATCAGATATAAATTCTTTAACACACAATGTCAAAAAAAGAGATATATTTTTTAAAGAAAATTTTGTTTTTAAACAAAAAGGAATTTTTTTTCATTGGAATATGCACGCATCTTGAAATATATAAATTTTTTTATTAAAGTATAATTTTTTAATATTCATTTAACGGTAATTGTTAAAGATTTTTTAATGTTTTAAATATTGAATATCTATGAAATACAGTCACGTTTGAACCTCACAATTCGTAAGTTTTAAGAACTTTTAAATGTAATTAAATTTTATTGAATAATATTTAATTCAGAGTATTTTAAGAAAATTTTAAGAAATACGGAGTATTTTTTATGATTTTAAATATAATTAAATTTTAAGAAAATTATGTTTATAAAAATAAAGACTAACATTAGAGGCGTGTGGCTCTAGGTGTGTTTTTTAAACTGACTTTTTATTGATATATGTGTGGGTAATAAATGTCATTTAAAAGAAGGGATTTGGTTACTCATTGCATTTTTACACGGCACCCATCTCAAATGAGTCTTTATTTTATTATTTTCAATTAGGTGATAAGTAGAACATTTATTGCACCTTGGGTAGCACAATATTCTCCTTGGGCCACACACTTAGATTTTCTATTTTCTTTAAATATCTTCATCATTAATGAAGCTATCAAAAATGCTTAGTAAGAATAGATGTACCCTCACATTAAATGATAACACTCTTTACAAAGCCATCACAAATTGTAGGTGATTTTATATGATAAGTATTACGGAGTAATTTCGAACATGCACACAATTTGGAATGTGATGCAATTTTTTGATCAAAGTATAATTATTTTTTTCATTACACGGTACATGGATTGGGTCAATCATATTTTTTTAAATATTAATTATGATTTCTTTTCAGATATAAATTCTTTAACACACAATGTCAAAAAAAGAGATATATTTTTTAAAGAAAATTTTGTTTTTAAACAAAAAGGAATTTTTTTTCATTGGAATATGCACGCATCTTGAAATATATAATTTTTTTATTAAAGTATAATTTTTTAATATTCATTTAACGGTAATTGTTAAAGATTTTTTATTAATTTAAATATTGAATATCTATGAAATACAGTCACGTTTGAACCTCACAATTCGTAAGTTTTAAGAACTTTTAAATGTAATTAAATTTTATTGAATAATATTTAATTCGGAGTATTTTAAGAAAATTTTAAGAAATACGGAGTATTTTTTATGATTTTAAATATAATTAAATTTTAAGAAAATTATGTTTATAAAAATAAAGACTAACATTAGAGGCGTGTGGCTCTAGGTGGGTTTTATAAACTGACTTTTTATTGATGGGTAAAACTATTTGTATCATATGGAGTGTACCCCATTTTGTACCCCGTAGCTTTGCACTAACACTTTATGTTGGTGTAAAACTAATTTTTTAATGCACCAACACTTTATGTTCTTGTAAATTTTTGCTAACGTACCAACACTTGTGTCGGTGTAAACCATCAAAATATTTGTGTATAACTGCGGTGTATAAATGGGGTACAATTTATGGTGTAAGTGTAGCATAACCCTTCATTGATACGGAGTATATGTTTGCGTAATAAATGTCATTGAAAAGAAAGGCTTTGGTTAACTCATGAGTTTTTACACGGCTCCCATCTCAAATGATAGTCTTTATTTTATTATTTTCAATTAGGTGTGATAAGTACAACATTTATTGCACATTGGGCAGCACAATAAGTAGATTTTCTAATCTCTTTGCATATCTTCATCATTACTCACATTAAATGAGAACAGTTATTACGAATTAAAGTTATCACTACTTGTAGCCAATTTCATATCACATTTACACAAAGTTAATTTTGCTATATATTATATTAATTCACTTTATGTTTGTATAATAATAATTATAATTTATTATTAATATATATATAGCTAAAAATAATCTGTTTTAGTAATCAAATATAAAGTTAAATAATATTTTTACTTTATATTGAATTGATGGTATTTCTTATTTGAAACAAATTTTAAATAATTTAAATTCTGAAAATCATTGAATATCTATAAAACAAATTAACATCGTATGTCACTATATACGTTTTTTAGGATTGTATTACAAATGTATATTTGCATGTTTAAATTGATTAATTAAAGTGGTTAATATTTTCTCTACACATGGTACATGCATGATCTTTTCATTTTTGATAAATAACAAACTTATTATATATAAGGACCGGAAAGAAATGTTCACGTACGATGATGCAAATATAGGAATATACTATTTCATGCCATTTTCAACGATGCATAGGTAAAGTAGAAAATATAAGGTTAAACGTAAAGTAGAAAATATAATTTTTAACGCAAATCAAACATTAACATGAAGAAATAAACATTTATAACACTCTAGGACGTCGCCTAGGAAAAGTAGACCACCCACGAAATAAACCAAAAAAACAAAAAACAGAGGTGGTTCATAGAAACAAACATTTAAAGTTTCCTAGGACGTTTCCTAGGAAAAGCAGACCACCACCGAAATAAAAAAAACAACAAAAAACTGAGGCGGTTCATTTGATGAATAAACACATAACAGTTGATCGATGTTCACTGGCTTGGATTATCCTTCTTGCTTTTCTTGCATTGACTTGTTGAGATGTCATCAAAAAGCTCTCTTTTCACCGAGTCAGTCTTGTCCAAGTCATCAATCCTTCTATGCTTCTGGTTCACACTCTGACTGGAGCTGGGGTCATTCGAGGCAATCTAAAAAAAATTAACCAAATTAAGTAATGTTTTACAAATGTTAACAATCTTTTGGTTGGATATATCAAATGTGTAATATACCACTTCATGAACCTTCTCACTTAAATCCTCAAGAGATGCCCATAGACCCTCACTTTCTTCATCAAATCCTTCCTCTTCACACTCAAGCAACTCTTCAAATCTGCTCATTATCTTTGCATCCGTGACCAACGATCTAACTCCAAAGGCTCTTGATCCACTCCAGTATGGACTCCCAAGTTCGGCTTTCAAAATGACGTGAAACAACCCACGTACACCTAGCAAACGATTAAGCTCTGTCGGAATGAAATTTGGGTCCATATTTTTCTGAAGAAAAGAACAATAAGAAATAAGTTAGAATTATTTGGTTATTGATTATAGTGACGATTCAGTAATAAAATAATTAAAGAATATTGCTTTATTTCAAACCTCAAGCATAATTTCCCTAAGCACAAAAGCACTTGCACCCAAAATTTCCTTGCACTCCCTATCCCAAAGGACGAATGAA